GTGACACTCACCAATAACCCCTTGTGGGGCCACAACATCAGACCATATCTTGATGTCCTCAAATTTGACCTTGACCAACGTGGCCCTTTTCAGCTTGTCTAAGGGAAGCTCTCGGAGACGGTCTGCGGTACTGAAGAACACCATATGTGGGTTGGCTCCAGCATTCAGGGCGTCACAGATCAGACGCCTGCCCTCCAGGAGGATTTTACCTTGGTGCTCCCGAAACGTCCTGGAACGAGTGATGCTAACTAACTTCCTGAAGGAAGTTCAAGGGGAGATGGAGAGACAAGGATCAATCACAGGCAGTGTGAATGAGTTATTGTCAACATTAATACCATTTGGGAAAGAAATAGAGCACTTCAAAACGGACTTATGTTACACCCTAATCTGAGACTGAAAAAGAAGATAAAGTAATATGATTAAACAAAAATAACCTTTAGCTTTAATGCCAGTATTGTTAATTGCAGTGGTGGAAAGTAAGTTACTCTATTTTAAGCAAAATACACCATATCTATAGGCCTACGTATAGTCTAGTAACATAATTTAATTCTGATATTAGATAAAACAATATCTAAAAAGCAGTTTTGCAAATAAGTACTTTTACTTTAATTTATATTTTTACTTGAGTTAGATTTTAAATGATGGACCTCAACAGAGGGTTTTTTACACAGTAAATATTGCTAATTTCAGTAAAGTAAAATATCTGAATACTTCATTATTGTAAAACTTACCCCAGTCTTTTATCTCCAGGGAAAGCCCTCTCGAAGCGCAGTCCATCAATTTGATCCTTTGTACCTGTAACATGGGCATGTGTTGTAGTCGCCTGCACATTACTCCTCGCTTTAACAAAATCTTCTTCAGGATGCTTTATTGCAGCTTTGACTTTTTGCCCCTTCTCCCTGTGGACGTCTCGTCCCGCTGGCTGAGGCCGAGGCTTGACGACTTTATCCGCCTCGTTTTCAGGGAACAACACTCGGACTGGGTTCCTCCTCAGTCCACGTACATACCGTTTGGTTTCCACAATAACACCACTTCCCCTTGAGTGTCGAAAAACGTTTCGCTCAATGGAAACAAGACATATCATGCTTCTCATGTAGGCAGCCATGTTTGCCCCGTGTCTTCTTCTCTTGTTTCACAGAACGTTGCACTAACACTAGCTCTGGTTCCTATCGCCTCCCTCTGGAGTGAAGGCAATACTACATGTAATCTTCATCTCTAGTGCCTCAGTTCGAGTTAAAAGATACCCTGTGTAGCTAACACACACACTTTCCATTTTTTTGAATGTTGTATCTTGTATTCTTATATTTTAATTTCCTATTTTGGAGTGTCAAAGTTGTTGTTGTTCAGCATATGAATGAGTATGGGGTGGGGGCAAACGTATTGTATATCTATTATTTGTATTAAATACAAATTACATTATTGATACAATAATTATTATATGATTAACAAAAGTATTAAACATAGATGTCTAAAGACTTTAATGCTGTTTTCTCACTTATATTTACTTTTCGCTCATCGATGTCAGAATAATCGATCATCAAGGATGACTAATCGTTCCCTGAATCTCGATCGGCACAACAGACATCCTCCCGTCACTAAACATGGCTTTGAGACGAGCGCTGCATTTTGTTTTCAAAGTTGGTGAGAGGGCCAAAACTGCCACGTTTTATCGAGATGTTCTGGGCATGAAGGTAGCCTACTCTTTTTGAGGTTTATTTTATAGCCAGAAGCCATTGATTAACTTTTGTGTTGTACAACATGTGTAGCTAGCTAATTCCTCTTCTGTCACATGAGTGAACCCCAGCTAGACTCCATTATATACATATGAAGTGTATATAAAACCACTTATAGAGCATATTTGGTACAACCAGAGTCTTTTTAATAAACGTGTTCTCATACTTATTATTCCATTTCAGATTTTACGTCATGAAGAGTTTGAGGAAGGCTGCAAAGCAACGTGTAATGGGTAAATATGACACCTTTGAACTTTGAACTTACAAAGCCGTATAACACAGACGTATAGAGCTGTTATTGTCCTTATACCGACGTCTCCTCTCCCCCTGTGTCTATACAGTCCCTACGATGGCAAATGGAGCAAGACAATGGTGGGCTTTGGTCCAGAAGATGACCATTTTGTTGCTGAACTGACATACAATTATGGGGTGGGAGAGTATCAACTTGGCAATGACTTCCTGGTGGGTGAGAGTTCATCTTCCAAACCTACAGTGGACAGCACCATGTTGTGTTTTACTGAGTACGACAGTCTTCTAAAAGGATATTGACACATATGTGTTTACTTCAGGGACTCACTTTGCAGTCGAGCCAGGCTGTAAGCAATGCTAAACGCCTGGGATGGCCTCTCACTGAGGTGGGAGAGGCTCTGTATCTGACCCAGGCCCCCGGAGGGTATCCATTCTACCTTGTGGACAAAGAGCAGCCTTCTAGTGGTGAGTGTCACATGTCTGCATGATGACAAGGAGTCATCCCTGCAGTTAATCCAGTGTTTAAAACAGTCCAATTTTGCATTTGTGTCACAGCTTCACAAATGCAAAGCATTATACATTTATGTATAGAAAAACTCATTCCTTTTTATTTTACTGGTAAAACTAATTAAACTAATCCAAATATATGTTGTATTTTATTGAGTAAATAATTAATTGATTAATTAATAAACAATAACATTGAATGAAAAAATTATAATTATCTGCAGGTGCAAAAAAAATTGAAATACAGATAAATAATTGCTTTGTATTGGAGCCTCTAGTCTATAGTATGTTATAATATGTCATTTTTCACTGTCATTATTTCCTAATGGGATTTCTATGCAAACGACCCATATTAAAAACTAAGTCCTTCATGCAGTACTTAACAGCAGGCACATTTGTTTTAAGACCCCGTGCAGAAGGTTTGTCTTGGAGTATCAGACCTCCAGAAATCGACCCACTACTGGACTAAGCTCTTGGGAATGAAAGTTCTGGAAAATAATGAGGAAAAGAAAACTGTGCTGATGGGATTTTCTGACAGTCAAGTGAGTCAAGTATTTAATAAATGTTTTTTGAGTTTATAAATTAGAACATTTTTCTTTTACTCAGACTTTTTATTTTGTATCTTGATGCAGTGTAAACTGGAGCTTCATGATAACAGTGGGGCAGTGGATCATGGAACTGCTTTTGGAAGGATAGCATTTTCATGCCCACGTGAACAAGTAAAAATATTATTTAATGGATATATTCTTGGCTGTTAATAACATTAAAAACAATAATATCTTTTATCATAAATCATTTTTATTACATTCCACAGCTGCCTGGCCTTGAAGCCGTGATGAAAAAGGAAAATCAGAAGATTCTCACTCCCTTAGTCAGCCTAGACACTCCTGGAAAGGCCACAGTAGAAGTGGTCATTTTGGCCGACCCAGTAAGTGCATTAAAAATCTAGCGCTGTAATTAAAGTGAAATTAGACTCTGTTATAAATGAAAAAAACTTAACTGGACAATTGTTGTTTTAGGATGGTCATGAGATTTGCTTTGTGGGTGATGAAGCTTTTAGCCAACTGTCTATGGTGGACCCCAAAGGAAATGAATTGCTTGATAAGGTTGGTGTTACTCAAGTATTAAACTCTCTTTAATATGATTTAATATGCACCATGTGTTTGATATTCACTATGTCTGTCGGTTTTATTTCAACTTTTAATCTTGTTTTTTTTCAGGCTATGGCCGAAGATAAAAGTGATGAGTGGTTTGCCAAACACAACAAACAGAAAGCTGCGGCATGAGATGAAGAGGTTTTGCACCACTAATTTCTCAACAGTTCATATAATGATAAGGTGCTTTACAAGGCACCTTTGGTGTAAATCTCCTTGTTATGACGACTCAATTGTCCTAAGGCTGGCAGTATGCAGTGAATTTTCACCTGGAAGCATGCCATACAGAACAGTTGCATTGGCAGCACTTTGTGAAAGGACCACTTGTTCATTATGATGGACATTTTTCAAAATAATGTTTCTATCAATAAGGAAAAGATAGGGGTAATGTTAGGATCCTGTCGACCCTCCATAAAACCATTGTATAATACTATTAGGCTGCAAGATTCCTGTGCATAAGTTAGATGGATAAAAGCATTGTCATCTAGAACAAATCTACAGTGCAATTGAAACACAAGTTGAAATGATCAATATTAACATGATGTAATAAAATATCCTTCTTGTTGCTATTTTAATTGTGTCATGTTGTAGCATGTTGTAGCAATAGTTCAGTCATGTGTTAAAATTACTTATGTGTAAAGATACATCATGTCAGTCATCATGTTGAAATAAATGTTGTCTCTTTAACTTTTCACCTTCGTAAAATAGTTTGATTATGACTGTGGGGTGTTGGAAGAAATATTTAAGTGTTTCTCTTGATTGATATAGGCTACCACAGCATAGAAGCACAAATCAAAACAACAAATCAAAGTCCTCATTCATAATGTTAAATACAAAAGCATTGGCATCAATATATTTAAAGTGCATAAAGTAAAAGTACTTGTGCAGAATGGGCAATTTCAGAAATATATATTACAATGCTTTTTTATAATAATGCATTAATGTGTGTTTCATTTTAATGTTGCTCCTGGTAAAGGTGGGTCTGATTTCAAAATGAACTTTTACAGCTGTGTAGCTTACCATTGACGGTGTTGATTTATTTTTGTGATAATCTAAATGTGCTTAAAAATAAGGCTATCCTATACATGTAGTAGAGTAAAGAATAAAATATTTGCCTCTACATGTTAAAATAAGTATAATGGAAAAGCAGTACCTTCAAAATGGACTAAACATTAGACTCCACCACTGTGACTGTTTTTGTTTTATGTGTGTATGAATTTGTTTGGGTGTGTTATATAAAATAATAGGTGACCTTTTTGTTTGAATGCATAAGTTAAAGATTAATATTTGCATACACAGTTTTTTGTTGGCGGTGCTCCAGCCACTGTAGTGCCAGTTCTGGGCTGCAGGTCAGATGAAGTGCCAGCTGAGCAGGGCGGAGCACAATGTTGACTGTGAGCACAGAGTTACTGTCAGATGAAAGGGCTCTTTGCAGCGAAACACAATGCTGTGAATATCTCAGGGTAAGTCAGCTTTATACTTAACTGGAGCCTGCGAAAGCAACATAAATATATACTAGTTACCATAAACAATGCCAAGTTGTGTAGCAGTCTAGCAGCTGTGCTAGCTAAGTTAGCTGTAGCGTTAGCTTGTTAGCAAAGATTTGCTGCTGATTTTTGGATGACGCGGCGACAATCATCTTTAACTATTTCATGTCTGACTAATCTGGGCTAACTATGCTACCCTTAACGAGCCAATGTTCTACCACTGATTGCTAGTAAACAATGACTTAGTTTATGCGACATGTTTTAACACTGTCAGTGACAGTAGGTGATAAAGTCTGGCTACGTGCTGTATCATATTCTGTTTGTGATTGCACTTGTTAATTAGCCTTGTTAGCATTGTGATGCTAGCTGTTAGCTGAAACAAACAGAACCAACGTTTATTAATTCTCACAGCAGAGGTTGCTTAGCCTGCTGCAGTGATGGACAAGTTATTGATTGTTGTTTTCTAGCAACCCGTCAGTCCCACCTGAGTGTGAGGTGTGTTGAACTGAAGTGCATCTCTTCCTCTCTGACAGCAGCTGATAGAGGAGCAGCCAGACCCATGACCGAGATTTGGGTGTGAACAACTTGGGACACCATGTCTCTCTTGCTGATATCCTTCCTGTTAATTCTTCTGCTTGGGATTTTGTTGTTATGTTTCATTTTCAGGTAAGAAGTAATTTAATTCCTACAGTATATGTGATTGCTAATGATACTCTGTAGACAACATACAGTTTACCCCAGATAGGTCCTGTCCTTGGTTTTCATAGTTTTCTTTACATATTTTTACAAAATCAATGATTTTGTGCTCTTGTCTTTTGCTCCTAGGTGGCTCGTATGCACCCTGGCTGTGCGATTCTTCCAAACAGCCCTGAATGCTGATCTAAAGATCAAATCAGTCGGGCTGTTTTCTGTCCAAGGAGTTAGTATCCAGTTTCACCCCCAGCATACTCTGGTAAGACACACTGTGTTTACATGACATTTATGTAGTGAGCTCATTGGAGGCCACTATTCCCATTTCAGGAGTAACAGTTTGACCCGGTAATGGCCAGTAAACCTTTTTTGTTTATTAAACTGTCAAAAATTATATCAAAGGTACTTTTTGACTTCACCATAAAAAGGGAATATCTTTTTGACAGGAAATTGACAGAATATGGATTTCAAGTAAACTTCTCAACCAGGATTTGCCGTAAGTTGTCACATTTCTTTGTCAGTTGGATAGTTAGAGATACAATCTATCAGCAAATCAGTAAAAGATTTGAATCCTTTTATATATGAAAATACCGTGGTTATTTGCAACAGCTAGTGCATGTTTGTGTTGCAGGAGGTACCTGGCGTTGTGTGTTGGCGAAACCAGAGTTAGGTTTGACTTGCAAGCACCACTCAGCCCTACGGTAACGAAGAGCCATGGGAAAAAGTCTGGGAAGTTTTCCGTCAGCCCCACAACGCTACGCTTTCTGTCGCAAGTATGGAGCCTCACCGTATCTCAATCTTTAAATAGACTTATTTGTAGACATTATCTTACCCCTTCTTATCTATCTATTTTCAGCTACTGTCGTTCCACGTCAGCTCGATCAATGTGATGGTCCTGAACCTGGCACTGTCAGAGTCTCTATGGCACATGACAGTTACAGGCATCACCTTGTTACTTGACCACCAAAGTAAAAGGTGATGCACTCTATTATTTCTGTCTGCTATTGGTCTGATTTGACGATTACATTTAATAGAAATATACGGATGATGCTACAATTTCATTAATGTTTTAACTTTCATATCAGGTTGGCGTGGGACTTCTCAGTTGGACAGCTAAGCAGTAAAGTGCTTAAAAGCAGTCAGTTAGTAAGTTTTTGCAATTTCTCTGAGATGGACACTTGGGATTGAATGTGTGACTAACATGCTCTCCACTGCAGGATATATGTTTGGCTGAAGTGGCCCTGAGCCTGCTGCTGTCTGGAGAGGTGAGCCTTCCGGAGATGAAGCCAGGCGGTCTGTCCCTGAATGTGAGGACACTGATCGCAGAGCTGCATGAAGGACTATTTCTCAGCCAACTCCTGCTGCCCTCGTCTCCCAAAAGGAGCATTCAGGATGCATCTGGTGAGCAATCGCATGCCTATTCCCTGAAATGTCTAAATCCTTATTAAAATAAAGTGACAAACTTGCTATGGCAATAACCAATCAATATTGGGACGTTCAGCTCACATCTGGGATGCTGGTTGATTGCAGGAGTGCATGTCAACATTTATAACGAGTATATAAATGTAGTCCAACTGTTGGCTGTATTTTTTTCTTTATTGCCTAATATAATCCTCTGTACTTGCACTTACAACAAGTACAGCATACGTTAACCATGACAACACTAAGGTTTATTTCCACTGACTTACATCAGCAAACTTCTGCTTATTCTAAAACGTCTGGATGTCTACTGCAGTCTGTGATATTTTTAGCTGTTCTGCTAACCGTCAAGAAAACGAGGACAAGGTCATGTCGTACAACAACCTGCTTTATTAAGCTCTGCAGTTGTTGAAATCTCTACATGCTCAAGGGAAAAGATAACGTTTAACCTCCTCGATCAAATGAAGTGTAGGTTATGCTGTCATTCTAAAAAGCGAGAAGAGGTTGGTAAAATGATGTCAGGTATTTAGAATAACATAACATTTACATGTGTTCTTGCATTTATTTGAATGCAATTTGATATATCTGCAGGTCTTTTTGGACATTATTAACTACATGAGAAATTAAAGAAATGCATTGTTAATAAAGTAGCATAGACATTATTAAGGTTGATAGTGTTGCCTGGATGTGACATATTAGCTCACTCAGGTTATCTGATATACAGCACACAAAAAAACAAGTTGAAAGAAAATATCAGACAAAGGATTTGTATTAAATGGAAATGTGATAGTATTTGTTTTTTCAATTGTCAAATAGATTGTTTAGCTGTAGCACTTTCAAAATCTTTGATAGAATCGTACATAATATTTAGATTATAATATTATTAATATTTCCTTTCAGAGTGTGAAAACATTGAGTTTATCCAGACTGAGGCGGTGGAATGGTTTCATGGGCTGGTTCCCCAAAAAGTCGATGTGGAATTTGATAATACAAATGTAACTCTGTCCATGCACAGCCAGAAAAGGTGAGTAAACATTTAGATGTTGTTTTGCACAATTTGATTCCATATTGAATGACCTTCTGATTTTAACATCATACCTTGTTTTCTTGTCTGCACAGACACCTGAACTGGACTCTGAAGTCTCTAAAAGTCTGCTATGGACGTGACGATGAACAGCTTCATCTTAAAAGCTTCACTCCAGAGCTGAGCTTTCCTCAGAGCAGAATGGAGCTCGTTCTAGAGGGTGAGTGGACGGACGCAATGCAGAGAGACGTGAATGAATTAAAGAAAGCAATAATAACACATCCCCTTTTTTTTTAACTGGCAGATGGACTTCTCCTCTCACAAAGTAGGCAAAGAATCCTGTGTGTGAACACGCTGAAGACGGTCCTGCAGGTGAGGAAGATATTTGAAGGTCACAACACAAATTATTAAAATAAAATACATTATTTTGACTGTCCCTTGTGTTTTCCTACATTTAGGTTACATCAGTGGACATCTCAGGGTCGTTCACTGTCAACACTTGCATCATCCACTACCGTCACCAGGAGTTCTCCCATTGGCTAAATCTATTTCCATGGGAACAGCTTATCCACAGGAAGGCAGCACATAGAAAAAGGCAAGTCTCAAAAGGAAAACAGAAGGGTTAGATTGCTGAATGGCAATTAATATTCATGTTGGGGTTGAACTATGACGATATATTTTCTGGAGTGATTGGATCTGTGTTCAAGGTTACCCGCTGCAGTGACGATAACATACAATATAATCTAATACCCTTTTTATTTTTTTCTCTCCTATCCATGTGTGTTTGCGCTCATTCTGTATTGTTGTTCCATGACGTCGTTGTGTTGTGTAGTCCATTAGATTATTTGCCCACCCTCCTTTTCCTCAGGCGCCTCCCTCACTTAGATGCCCCTGTGATGATCACCTCCTCCGTATCCAACGTCAACGTGTCAGTTCAGCTGGGAGACACCACGCCTTTTGCTCTCGGGTTTCTCTCTGTCAGTGCAGGTACTGTAGGTCTTTCACATGCTGCACACGTGCACATTCACACACAGGGAGGCAGGTGAACATCCTAAGATGTTATTGCTACAGAGCAGAATGAGGGTATGGTGCGTTGAAGTTTAACCCCAACTCCTTGTTGTAAGCAACAGTACTTCACGTTATGACTTTACATCGTCATTCTTACCTCACATGTCTGTTCAATAAATCTTTCTGCTTTGTATTCTGCAGGCAACTTTTGTGTCAATCTCTGCCAAACTAGATTAGATAACATCTTTTATTAAAGTGCCCTTTTAAACGTTACACATTAACTTGAGTTTTTTATAACCCAGTTGCATTTAGTTTTTGGAAAACAAATGAAATCTTTATACTGCAGCAACTTTAAATGTACTTTCTGAATAAAAACATTTTTATGATGACTTGTGTGTCCTGTGCCCATAGAACTGCGGCATCTTCTTGACATTAAAGTTGACTACGAGAGCACAGAGTCCCAGAATGTGCACCGACGTGCCTCACTGTCCCTGGACAACTTCTGGTGGAGGGTGGGTCAGGGGTCTCATATCCAACAAGCGCCCCACCCTCCTGGGAAACATGTGTGGGGAGAAGCACTAATTCTAGACACACTTAGTCTTCAGGTAGGTACACACAAACATAAGAAATAGTGTTCTCGGATATACAATGTTTTTTGTTCAGTAAGTGATTTAACCAGAGGATGAAATGGCTTACTCAATTTCTAATGTTTGTTATGACCTCATCCCTTCAGGGGAGTTTAATTCGGCCCCACATGGAGTCGAGCAGCCAGTGTCCGAGTTTGAGCGTGGAGTCCAGCCTGAAGGGGCTTCAGGTGGAGCTCTCGGAGACCTGTGCTCTGTGTCTGTCTCGCCTGCTGTCCCTCATCTGTGTTCCTCGTGACGTGGTCTCTCCGCTGCCAGATGTGACCTCACCGCTGCCAGATGTGACCTCAGTGTCTCCCTCCAGTGGCCACACTGTCCAACCACATCTGCTCTTTAAACTCGACTATTGTCTGGAGGATGTTAATGTGTTCACACTATCCAATCTAGCAGGTATGTTATTTCAGATTATGTATGAATTTTGTAGGCTTTGTTTCATGATTCACTATATGTGACATATACAGTTTACCCTTTAGCATATATTTAGGTGCGCCTCTTAGTTGTTTGACAGAAAAGACATGTCCTAATTCTGCTGTTTTCATTTTTCTCAAGTAAGCATTCCTGTTGTCTAAAGGGACTTAACGTCCCAAATAGATGTCATTTATGTGGAGCCAACACGATTATAAAAATATACATTTTAATCGGCAGCTGTTTTTGATAATTATGAGGCAATTTTTTGTTCGTTTGTCCAACAAATACATCTCTATGAAGACTTAACCTTGGGTTTAAAGGAATTTGTATTCTCACATTTTTACCATTTTATGGTCAGGAAATATTGTTTGTGAAAATAATTGTCAGTTTCCATTTGGCCAAAAGTATTGGAGCAATACACTTTAGGGCTAGAAAAAAAGTAAGTTGCTATCTTCTTACAAATGCCCTTTGACCTTAATTATGTTGAGTTAAAGACCACTGCTTATACAAAGTACTCTGCTCCTCAGTTGATCATCATGCTTGATTATCATTGTTTATTTCCTTGTGTTCTCTTCAGGAGCTGTGTCTCTGCGAATGGACACTGTCAGAGTGCAGAGCTCTGCAGACAGCTCCACGGTGTCTCTTCAGGGTGTTAGCCTGTCAGCGATCAAAGCACTCACAGAGAACATGGAGTCGTGTAGCCCCTCCTCCCAAACCCCCAGCCCTGTGCTCAAACTCACCAAGATAGCCTTTTCTTACTGCATCACCACCCACACCTTACAGGTAATCACATCTCCTTCAGTTGTATTTGTCTTGAATGATGGAATATCTGTGTCAATATTCATATTATATCTTAACCAGGTTCAATGTGAAGAGGAGCTCTCTGTGGAATGGACGCCACCTGACCACATGGTCTTATATCAGCACCTGAGTGAAGCTCAGGCTTGTTGGCTTATGCTTTGCGGAGAGAGAGGAGAGGACAGTCCAGTCGAAACCACAGAAAGTGAAATCCTGCCGGGTCAGAGCAGAGGGCTGTGTGTGCGCATTGCACTGGGCTGCACTCGATTGACAGCCCATGTTAGTGAACACAACTACATCCTCCTGCACACAGAAGCCCTCACAGTGTCCAAACACACGGGCTCCATGCACATACGCTCTCCGTCCGTCATCTTCAACTTTGATGGCCACAACATCGTCACCTTTAAGGGTCTGTCTGTGGACATACACTCGGAGCTTCCTGAGATGTGGCTGCACAGAGAAACCTTCCCCTTCCTCGAAACTCCCCACAACTGTGTCGGGGTCCTCACTTGCCCCTCTATGACTGTGGAGTTCCCTTATCAGTACGACTTCTCAAACACCTTTGACATGGCCATCAGCGTGCAGAAGTGGCTGAAGACCCTGCATCGCTCCGCAAGCCAAGCCCCCGCTGCCCCCCGCCTGCCTCCTGACCTCGTGTTCAAAATCAGCCAGTTCTCCTTCGTCTTCCTGGACGATATCTTTGAAATCAAGCTGCGAGACAACTACGAGCTGCTGAAGGATGAGAGTAAGGAAAGTGCCAAGCGTCTTCAGCTTCTGGATAAGAAGGTGGCAGATTTGCGCAAGCAGCATGGAGAGCTTCTCCCTGCCAGGAAGATCGAAGAGCTGTACAGCTCACTGGAGAAAAAGCACATCGAGATCTACATCCAGCGCTCACGCCGCCTCTACGCAAACACACCCATGAGGAAGTCTCTGCTGACCTGGACTGTGTCCGACCTGGAGTTGGTATTTCTGGCTGATCAGTCTCTGCACGGGCCGGAGAAGGTGAGAGAGCAGCTCAGGGATATCGACAGGATCAGCCCCTTCCCCAGAGACGGACTCCCTCTGGTGGTCCAGTGGTGCCGTGCTATCAAGTTCAAACTGGCTGCATTTTTGGGTAAGTTCATACAACATTGATTTGCAGATTAGAGACCGGATTTAGATGAGACTAAATTGGAAATGACCGTCCTCCCGGTTTTAACCTACTACTAAAATGATTTCCTTAATTTCTCTCTTTCTGCCGTGTCAGTGAGAATCCGGGATTACCCTCGCTACCTGTTTGAGATCCGGGACTGGGAGCTGTCGGGGCGTCTCATTGGGACGGAGCAGGATGGACAGACCAGGGCTCATCGCAAAGAGACCGTCCCACTCGGTTCGCCATGGGGAGACGTGACGGTCCACAGGAATATGCCACCACTGAAGTTCTACTATGATTTAAAATGTGAGTTACAGGAATGATGCTGTCAACGTGTTATTCTACCATCATTATCTTAAGTCTTTTTCACGAGTTTCCATCAGGTATACTCATCTTGTAATTTTGCCTGTCCAGTCACAGCTTTTGTATACAGTAACTATTTATGTGTCCGAACAGAAGTTAAAAGCAGAAGTAAGGGGGCAAAGGACGAAAGAAACAATGCCTATAGTTAATGATAAATGTTTTCAAATTCCTAGACACCATATTACAAAGGAAGGATAAAGTTTCCTTTAGAGGCATATATCCATTTACATCATTTTAGCTCCAGTTGTGCAGTCTTACTGTTGGCTAATGGGAAGAATACTCTTCAGACACTGTACATTAATTTCTCTTTCTGATCATCTTTTTCTTACAGCGAACATCTCTCTGTACACCATTGTGTGGGGGCCATGCTGGGACCCTGCCTGGACTCTGATTGGCCAGTCCGTCGACCTGCTGACCAAACCCACTGTGGATCCCTCACCTCCTGTGGCCTGGTGGGACAAAAGTCGCCTCCTTCTGCACGGGCGCTGGGTTATGGACATCGACCAGGCCAACCTTCATCAGCTGGCTACAGAGGTAAAACAGTTTACAGCTTACAAATTAAATTGTTGTGAATATCAAATCATCACTTAAATTCATTTGGAATTTGTACACTCAGTGTGTCACAGAATGTTTCAGTTCGTTGGGGCAAGCAAGCCATGTTGTGGTAAATAATATTAATCACTTTATCTAATATAAAGATGAATCTTGATTCTTACAGGACCCTTACAACACAACAGAAAACCTGCACTGGGAGTGGAATAAACTGAACTTTGACTGGAACCCTGGCCAGTTTGTCTATAAAGGAGATTTAGATGTTAATGTCAGAACAGCGTCAAAGTAAGTAGAGGCATCCAAAAGAAAAATGTAATGCAACTTTAAGCTTTATTTGTCAATGATTGTTAAGTAATATAAATGCTGTTTTCTCCACACTAGGTATGATGATATCTGTTTTCTACACCTGCCCAACCTGTTTATGACCCTTGACCTCCAATGGCTTTGCCATGGCAACCCCCATGACCACCATTCTGTGATGCTCTGCTGTGCGGAGAACGTTGCAGACGTGACTTCAGGACAACCTCATGACTCCTACAGAGCCTTTCGCTCCGAGAACCTCAACTTCTCCATCACCATGGACCTGAACCAGCACTGTGGCACAGGTACCTGCAACTCTGATAGATACTCTGTATACAAAAGCCCACTGTGCTGGAAAACTAGCATCATAGAAATGTATTTAGCTAGATTACTATATTCACTTTCCTTTGTAGAACCCTCCCAGCCGAGAATGCTGTTGTACAGCAGCACTCTGCGCTGGATGCAGAACTTTTGGGCCACATGGACGGGTGTATCTCGACCAATCTGCAGAGGCAAGCTCTTCCACAGCCTCAGGCCTATCCGCAAGAAGCTGGGTCAGCACTACAAACAGATGTCCTACACAGCTGCCTTCCCACAACTACAAGTAAGGGTTTTTCTAGGCTGCTGTCCGGCAGCAACAGTCCACTAGAGATCTGCTCTATGTGTTTACCATTTGTAGTCACACAGGACAGTAGTAACTTTGATTTTGTAGACATTGTTGAATATATTTCTTTACACCTAATATCTTCCATGTGTGCACATTTCAACATGTTATCTGTCCTCCAGGTGCATTACTGGGCCTCCTTTGCCCAGCAGAGAGGAATCCAAGTGGAGTGCAACAAAGGACACGTCTTCACCCGAGGGGCACAGAGACTTATTCCACAGGGTACAGGCGTCTGCATGATACAGTTTTAAAAAACAAACAATAATTCATACACACAGATTGGGGCTGTAACTGTTTGTGTATTTGTGCTGACTGTCATGGTAGAAGGGGTTACGGCCCAGTGCACACAGCCGTAGTGTTTGTCTTTAAGACTGTTCAGCTGTGTAGCCCAGTTTAAAACATTTGTTGTAAACATAATCAAATGTAGAAAATTACATTACTTTGATCAAGGAGTTAAAATATTTAACTGAGTAAATTGTTATCTGAAACCTAGCTTTTTAACACTGCTAAGGCGCATTAAACAACATGACCCGCATGCAAAAAGCAACCGCTAATTCAAATGAATAATTATAAAACCTTTATGTTTATAGCCTCTTGTGAGTGTAATGCAGAAAACAAACAAATGTGAATGGGCTTGTTTTTTAAGGGTTTTCATTATGTGTTTTTATTTTCCTTCAGCTGGCACAGTGATGAGGAGGCTGATCTCAGAGTGGAATGTGACTCAGATGGTTAGTGAGCTGTCTCAGGTGACGGTTCACCTAATGGCCTCCACCTGGGACGAGACAGCGGACCACCAGATGAACGCTCAGGTGAAGAAGACCCATCTGGTTAGCCTGTCCTCCCTGAGCTACCAGAGACAGAGCAACCGCATGGAAGAGGTAAAAGCCCAACGAGAGCTGCAGTACCTGTCGTTCTTCACTGTCGACGAGTTCATAATCACACAATTTAAATATGTCTCACAGGAGGTGAACCAGAAGGATGAGACGAATGCCTCGTACACTCACAAACTGCGCCTGGTAGACCTGCGTGCGTCCTGGACCACCACGAACAGGAACATCGCCTTTGGGCTGTACGACGGTTATAAAAAGGCGTCTGTGTTGAAGAGAAACCTCTCCACTGAAGCTTTGACGGGTCTGAGGATCGACACTCAGCTGCAGACAAAAAAGCTCAAACGCTCTCCTTCCAACTACTCTCCCACCACAGCCCCCACCACACCAGTGATGCCCACCGTCAGAGCAGAAAAAAGTCAAAATGAAGGTGAGGAAGTAGCTTCAATAAGAAAGACATCAGTCAAGTCTTTTTATAACCATAACGATTTTATTTCCCGCTTTTTGCAGGAACATCGATGCTCCAGAAACTAATCGAGGAAACAGACAAGTTTGTGGTGTTTTCAGAGGAGGATTCTGGTGTCAGCGACCAGCTGTGTGGCATTGCAGCCTGTCAGACCGACGATGTGTATAACCGCAACTGGTTTATCGAACTGGTTAACTGTCAGGTAAATGCCTTTTATTTTTCTGCTGCAGGACCATTTCATCAGAAACAGGTTGATTGCCAGATACATTGACACATACAAGGAATTTGACTTGGTGTTGTGGTGCATACATAAACATACATACAAATGAAACCAAGATTAAAAACACAGATAGAGAACTATTTTAAGAAAACTATAATAAAATTAAAAAATATTAAGAAATATAGCAGTATTTACATTGGTTGAAATCGTAGACATAGAATTAGAATAAAATATGTGCAGTAATGAAAAAGAAGATATTGTATACATTGTGTGCATTAATGTAATGCATAGAGTCTAGGATGTGGCTGAGGTGCAGTGTCAGTCAGTTCCTACCTAATGTCATCATAGCAGGGTTGTATGTTTCTATGTTCAAATTCACAAATAGTGGCTGTTAAATTCTAACCCAAGAGTTGATAAAGCCCTATCAAAACAAAAATATTGTGTTCTCTCTTTCTTGAAAGTTTTCAGTTGGTTGTTTATTGAAATGCTGGACGATTTGCACCAACGTTTCATTCTCCTCTGCTCTCCTCAGATGATGCTGCGGGGCACAGAGACGGCAGGCTGCGTGTTGGTGTCAGCAGCGAAGGCTCAGCTGCTTCAGTGTGAGCACGACCCATCCTGGTACAACGACACCCTGAAGCAGAAAACCACCTGGACCTGTCTGCTGGATGGCATGCAGTACTTTGCCACCATGGAGCCCAACCCATCTGAGCAAGAGGACAGACAGCTGTGGCTGGAGGTAAGCAACATTCATAATCCTTTTGATGTGACATATTCGCTTGGCCTACTCATATAGAACTACACTTTTTTTCCTTTATCTACTTCTGTTTCGGCGGAACACTTAATGAGGTTACATTGCCTTTTAACTGATTATTAACCATTGATAAAAAAGTGTTCAATTAGTTAGTATGGCAAGTTTCTGTGTTATGCCTTGATTAAAGATGAATAGCATGTTAAGCTAGTTTGAATACCAACTAATCAACTTCAACATCACAACCAAAGCTATATACAGTAGTAACTTATTCACGTGGAGTGTTGTTCTGCTCTGATTTGCTTTGTCTGTGTTGTGTTTAGGTGAAGAACATAGAAGAGCACCGGCAGCGTAACCTGGACTCGGTGCTGGAGCTGATGGAGAGTGGCCAGGCTGTGGGAGGAATGGTTAGCACCATTACAGCAGGTAAATGAAATATCAAATGCAGGATCGTCCTTCCTCACCACATGGAATAAATAGGCATCTTCGGACAAAGAGAATCCGAAATCCTCTATTAGTCCCACAGCGGGGACATTTAAAGTGTTATGGCAAAAAGTGGCATAGCAGGTAAAGAAAAAGGCATAATCAAGGAAATATTACAAAAATATATGAATAAGCTAACTTATTAAGTATAGAGGAGAAAAGCAAACGTTAGTTGTACTAGAATAAAAATAAAGGTAAATGGTGATTCATGGTCATTTTTCTGTCTGCAGACTGGAACCAACCGGCCCAGGTGAACGAGGCTCAGCAGGTCCAGCGCATCATCTCGCGCTGTAGCTGCAGGATGCACTACATCAGCTACAGTCACGACATCAACCCTGAGGTGGCCACACAGATCAAACCCCCAGAGCTGAGGAATAGCCATGAGAAGGAGGACCTGCTGAAGAAACAGGCCGGTATGTCTGGCCACCTGTTTACTGTACATCCAGCACCTGCAAGGAATAATGCATTAGAGTTCTTGTCAAGATTCAAGGCTTTATTGTCATGTGCACATTAGCTACAGTGTAGATATGGCAATGACACACTTAGATCACAGGCTCCTCCAACAGTGCAACATGACTATATATAGGACATAGAACAAATAAAACAGATCAAATAGTGCTATAGAATGTTTTGAAATGTGCAAGTAAATACAAATAAAATAGAAATAGTGCAAGAAGAGTCTATATAAAAGTAAATGTAATATGATATATTAGATAAATCATTTGCAAGATGAAAACCGATGAATGTTTATGGATGTTCTTTTATACTTATTACAAATTTCACCAAATATGACATATGTGCTTTATTATGTGGATTTAACAGGAGCTGTGGACACCTTCACGCTCATTCACCACGATCTAGAGATATCCACTAACCCCGTTCAGTACGCTATGATCCTGGACATCGTCAACAACCTGCTGCTGCACGTGGAGCCCAGGCGCAAGGTAGGCCGGAGCATCAGATGAAAGTACGTTTCCTTGTGCTTAGCGATGCTCATTCTTTATGTTTCACCTTCAGGAACACAGTGAGAAGAAGCAGCGTGTGCGCTTTCAGCTGGAGATCTCCAGTAACCCTGAGGAGCAGCGCAGCAGCATCCTGCACCTCCAGGAGGCCGTCAGGCAGCACCTCGCTCTCATCAGACGCCTGGAGAAACAGATCTACTCCAACATCAGGGTGAGGCATCACGCTTGTGGGCGCTCAACTGTTTTATAAAAGTATGAGTTTACATTTAAACTGATTATGTTTCTATTGCAGGCACAAACTGAGGAACTGAGCGGAGACGAGCTGATGGAGATCAACACGAGACTGCAGAACCAGCTGAACCAGGAGAAGAACGACATGCAGATGAAGAGTGAAGAGCTCAACATTCTCATCAGGTCTCACATCAGCACTCATTCACATCGAGAAAATATTGCACAAATGACAAAATTAATATATTTCTCTTTTATTTCAGGTGTTTTAAGGACTTCCAGCTGCAGAGGGCAAACAAGCTGGAGCTGCGTAAGCCCCCGGAGGATGTGAGCGTGGTCAGGAGGACAGAGATCTGCTTTGCTCAGGCCCGCTGGTGTCTGACCGAAGAGGACGGCCAGCTTGGCATCGCTGAGTTAGAGCTGCAGAGATTTATGTACAGTAAGGTGAGCGGTGATTATTATATAGGAACGCTTCTTATCTTCCACAGTGCTGACAACTCTCCTGACATCTCACTACATTATCTGTCCTCTCCAGAGTTTCATAGTCCCACATAGGGCTGCACGATATTGAAAAAAACTGACATTGCGATATTTTTTCCCCCTGCGATATATATTGCGTTTTTTTTAACTATATTTAACCGGATGAAGGATTTTAGTCACGGACGTCTGGATCTTAACTGGTTGACTCATCATACCTTAAGTCATCATCTAACATGTCATGATAATGCATGTTGCTTACCCTCAAATAAGGGGGTTCATCTGTGAATGAAGAAGAGAAGAACCTTTTTGTATCCAAAATAGTTCCAGATGGCAGATGTTGCTTTTCTTTTTGGAAGTAAATCTTCATTCTCGCCGGTATTGTCCTGCTGTGCCTCGCTCATTTTTCACCGGTTTTTTGATGGTCTGCAAACTAGTGGGGCGGGGCCTGCTGTGATCTGATCAAGAATGATTGTGATTGGTGGTTTGTCACTCACTCAAGTACCCCTGACATGAGAGCCGCGCAAGTTTTCCTTTTGTAGCAAGCAGCAAAATAATTGTAACATGACGTGTTTGAGTTAATTTACCTACTTAATATCGCACGTCCTAAAAAAATAAAAATAAAAAATGTTTATAAAATCGCACGTCCCTGCGATGTGAATATCGCGCATGCGCATATCGCGGTTATCGCCATGACACGATATATCGTTCAGCCCTAGTCCCACAGCAGATTTATTTCCAACTACTTTGATAACAAAGGTTTTCATGCAAAGGTTCTGTGTTCCGCCACTCATACATGTAGATGTCCTGCTTTTCTCTGTTTAATATCATATTAAACTGCATGTCTTGGGTTTTGAACTGACAACCAGTGGAAGACTTTGTGAAACTGGGTTGGAAATTTTTCCGTACTTTTAAAAAAAAACGTTTTATAGACCATAACATTAATTTAATAATCTATCAAAAAATCTCCATATTAATCAATAATGGAAAAATGTGTGAGTTGCAACCCTAGTCTCTCAAATCTTCTTTTATTACATGTATTTGCACTTCATAGCACGTGACCGGATTGTAACCCTTATTTAAACTTTATTCAACATTCTGTATTCCCCGAAACATACTAGGATAATAGGAATATATAACATATCTCATTCAACCAGTGTATCACATTAGATCTTACTGCTGACATCACATATTTCACTTTTCACTGCTGGATGGTAGTCGTTGATAACTGTGAATACTTTGTTCCCACAGCTGAACAAGTCTGACGACACAGCCGAGCATCTCTTGGAGTTAGGCTGGTTCACAATGAACAACCTGCTGCCCAATGCATCTTACAAGGTACGTTTCACTCATTATTCAGACATTATTTAAACCTAAATTGTACAAGAAAATGTAATCAAATCCATGACAAACATCCTTTTTAAGCTGACTATTCTCGAGAGAGACGTTTTCAACATGTATTTTCCAAAGATCTGTGATATTTATTGACTCTGCCTGGTTTCCTCTGTGCAGCGTGTGAGGGTATGTACAGCTCGAACAGTGACTCAACGTCTGTGTAAATCCATCCTGTTTGTCCAGTTGGGATCACTCAGTGACTCTTCAGAATGTCATACTCATCGTTGCATGTGCACTCAATAGTTCGTTGATGCATGTGAGGCGGCGAGGTCTCATGCAGTTTCACTTGACCTGGTGCTGTCGCCCATTCTGTGTTCATATCATTAATAATATGTGCTCTCATTTCGAGTTGGATTTTCTCCTTGCACCAGAGCTTGATTTTGTGCGATCGCCGAGGATGAATTTAATTCCTGTTTCTTTTTTTAGGTTGTAATCCGTCCGCAGAGTACATGCCAGTCAGCACGGCAGTTTGCTTTGCGTATCTTCAGTAAAGTGCGCCCCCCTGTGGGAGGAATCTCTGTGAAGGAGCACTTTGAGGTGACGGACATCACATCTACAAGCAACCGCATTCACTAGAAATGTTTGGATTGTGATTAATGGAAGTGTTTCTATCATCAGGTGAACGTGGTGCCTCTCACCATCCAGCTGATGTACCAATTCTTCAAAAGGATGATGGGCTTCTTCTTCCCAGGACGAAATGTGGAGGAGGAGGAGGTCACTGATGAGGAAGACAAGTTCAGATTGGTCACTACAGGTGAGGTGTTGTCGCTCAGCACGCTGAGTAACTCAGTCTACTCTCTGTGGGATCACCAGGCGGAAATCTATCCCAACAAACGGATCAATAATAGTTTCCATTTTCTCCGTCAGACGTGTGCTTGGTATCAAATAGCCCATTACTGTGTTGTGTCATCGCTCTGAGCTATTAAAAGGCTCTGTCACAACGGATATGACCTTGAGGTGTGTGTGAGAGACTTGCTGGGAGTGTAAGGTGTAGGGTGCAGAGTCCCCCAGGGGCCACAGTGCTGACGCCCTCTCTGTGTCACAGGTATCGCTGTCAAGTCCCGGCAGTCATCAGAGGACACCATGGGTGCTATGGGCCCCAGCAAAGGTGTCACCCAGGGGCTGAACCGCACCGCGGGGGTCCGGCGGTCCTTCAGGAAACCTCCGGAGGTAAACTGTGTTCTGATTGTCTGTGCCTGTATGTCACTAGTAAGAAAATAAGGACATGTGATTGAAGTCTTTGTTTCCTCCCACCAGCATCCTGTTGATGACATTGATAAGATGAAGGAGCGAGCGGCTATGAACAACTCCTTCATCTACATCAAGATTCCACAAGTGCCCCTCTGTGTCAGCTATAAGGTGGGATTTCTGTACATTGACTGACATGTTTTATTAAATTCCTTTTAGATAAAGAACTTGTAGAGGAATATAACTGAAGAGGATGTGTCTGTTATATTTTATATAACACCTCAGGTCTTTCATAAAAGATCTCTAATTGTGAAAAATTATCATCACTTTAACTTTGATATTTTAGATTATGCCCTGTTGAAACTGCATGAGAACTACAGGCATTAGATTAGATTACAAGTTTTATTAATCACCTCCTTTACAAATATTGAAGTGATGTAAAGAAATTAGGTGGAGACAGAAACATGACCCAAATAAATACAAATGGCTGGATATATAAGTATGCAAAAAGGTTTGTCATATCATCGTCATGTTTTTCAGATATTGAACTAATGTTATAAACATCCCCATTCTTTAGGGAGAGAAAAGCAGTGTGGACTGGAAGGACCTGAACCTGGTTCTGCCCTGTTTGGAGTACCATAACAACACCTGGACCTGGCTCGACTTTGCCATGGCTGTGAAGAGGGACAGCCGGAAAGCTCTTGTAGCACAGGTACAGAAGAACATTTATGACTTTGACTCCTTATCATATGCTCACAACTTGAAACCTTTAAGTTCAAATAGTGTGTTAATTAGGATAATACCACCAAAATGTTCCCTTTTTAAACTGTTAAAAAACTATATTTTGTTAGATTTCTCTCTGCTATTTAAATGCTTAAATCCTTTTCTGCGGACAGTTTCTACAAAGATTGACTAGGGTCAGAAGTAACCTTCATTTGCCTTACCATTGATAAGTTCTGTGTTTATAAACTGTTATTTGTCCTCTGCTCTGCTCAGATGATCAAGGAGAAGCTGCGTCTGAAGCCGGCCTCAGGCTCAGACCAGCGGGGGAAAGCGTCTGAGGGGAAGTTGGACAACAGCATGCAACAGCAGGAGGAAGACGAAAAGGCTCGGCTCCTCATCGGCCTCAGCTCCGCAGACAAGAGCTCCGGCAAGAAGAGCATCTTCAGTCGGCGTAAGTGACACGACAAACATCGTGCAGCTCGACTGGAACGTCCACGCAGCAGCTTCCACACTCCCTCTCTGTAAGAGGATCAGGGACACACTGAATATCAGTCTGGCTTTGTGTATCACAATTAAAAAGGGAGATAGTCGAGCATTTCGTTTATGCGGATAACTTACTGTGTCATGAGCCTGCTGAACATTAATCTTATTTGAAAAAGATACTCCAGATGTGTCTCAGATCTGAATTTGTGGCAAACACCCCTGCAGGGAACTCAAAACAGCTCCAGTATGAACCAGGGTGCCATTTTGACCAAATATATATTATTTTCTTGTTTATTTACGGGCCATTCAAAATTCTTTCTGCATTTCATACACACAATGATGACCACTTGCATTGAATGTAGCGGGGATATTTTCAGTGTGTAGCGAGCACTTCACTGTCTCCTCTGCTTCTATAAATGTTAGACTGAGAGCACCTTTTCCTGCTGGCTCAGGAACGCTGTGCGTCTGCTCCAATAACTCACCCAACTGAAAGCACCTTCATCGCTGTCTGCTGTAGGAAAATATATTTGATTTTGAAATTCCATAAACGAATATATTATATCCCTATATGTTTTATCGATTATATTTGTAAAAGGCTGTATGAGTGTCTCTGACAGGAAGGCCTTTTCCCCACAAATGACCACAAAAGATTTTATATTTTACCTTAAATGACTGTGTGCATCCTCAGCTAGCTGGTTTACTGTACCTCACCCCTGTGCAATATATCAAGAACAGAGCAGCAAAAACATATTTATGTGTTGTATAATGTCGCATTTGGTTTGATGGTATTGTGGAAAATATATATATTATGTTGCAGCTAATGCAGAGTGTATGTTTTGTAATTTTATTACTAAAGCACCTTTTTATGCAAAGTATTTTGATATTTTTGTAACCACGGTTGTCTTCTGTTTGATTACTTGTATAACTGTGCTGCTAAGCCTGTCACATTTCTATTAAAAATAATTACAAACGCATCATATCACAAAAGCAGATGTATTCACATTTCTATCAGCTCTGTGGCTTTTTGTTTATCTGTCAATAAAAAGTGTTACAGTCTCCCAGTTGTGTTTGGGTTTTTGTGCAGTATAGAAAAACTAGAGGGGGGGGGTGCTCTGCGTCGCAGGATATTTGGGAGCAGAGGGCTAAGCGATGATCGAGCTGGCAGCTTCAACTGGAGCGGAATCCAGACCCGCCGCAAACACAACACAACAACACGTGGATCAGAAAAGGATGCCAAATAAAGGACTGAACGAGTTGAGTTTTTACAGATTTTTGCGTGAGATACAGATCCCTGTATGGGCAACGACATCAGTAAGGTACGTTCAGTGTCATCTGTCCGATACATGTGAATCATGGAAGTGATTGTTGAGCTGTCGCTAATAATAAGTAGCCTATTATAACAACAACAAATGAGATATACAGCGATCGCATGTGTGGATTGTTGATTTAATGAGCAACTACTGGTGGATCATATGATACAGCATGTCTAGGCGGAAGAGTCAGAAATAGAGCTGTTATCAATAAGTGATAACCCGAGGGGCAACACTCTGATTCTCTGTAGCCCTGAATGAATAGCTTCATGTGTCATTGCTGGAAACTGTAGCTGTCTAAAGCTCTGTCTTTCACGTGTTAAAAACACGTTAAACATATAAAGCTTCTCCAGATTTGTTTTTATTTCATTCATATTTTTATAAAAAAGATGCAGTATAATATACAGACAGAAGGCAAGTTGTTAAGTCTTAGTTTTGTTATTAGATCTTTGAAAAAAAAGTGTATGAATATAGTTAAATCATAACTATTATACCATATATCACCAAGAACCAGTTGTGTTAATGTAAACAATATTCAGTCACAAACACAGTTCTGCATTGAAATCAGCAAAATGTATACACTAATACAAATTATGCAGATGCTTTCAACTATGTTATTATATTTTAAATGAAATGGATAGTATAACTACATAAACAAATTGTGTATCTTCATGTAGAACAAGTCAGTGCTGGTTTTTTAAACAACAAAAATATCAAAAGTGTACTTTTACTCCTCGCTCATGTCCTTGAAAAGAGATGTTAGTCAAACATATTATTTTAGTAACCCATCATTTGGGGTCTAACTTAGAAATGTAAATGAAATAAATATAATATATACATAGTATGTTTCATAGTGCCTTGCATTTCATTATCCAGACAAAGGGACCGCCTGCTCAGCGTCGCCTCAGTCTGGGGTTCTTCTCGAACAGGAGGGTCTCCATCACCCAAAGACTCGGACACTCGGCTGTGTTTTCCCGGCCTGTTGGTCCTGATGGCCGACCCCCTGACCCCAACCCTCTGCAGCCTCCAGACCACACAGACACTCCTCCAGCTCTCATCTCCGTCTTCCTACCCGAGTTCCCACAGCGAACACTTCCCGGACCAGAGCATTTCAAGGTATCACAACAAGGATGCTCAACAGAATTAACAAAGCAAAGAATGGGAAACATTGAGATAAATGTGATGTATGTCTTTTTCACAGATCCTGGGATTCATAGCCAAAGGCTCATATGGACCCATCCTGAAAGTAAAGGACTTTTTTAAAGAGAAGACCTACGCTGTTAAGGTTAGCCATAATAATCAGTACTATAAACAAACAGCATTAAGAACATTGAATAGTTTTTGTGTAATCCTTTCTATATTGTTGCATAGGTTCTACCAAAGTCAGACATCTTGAAGCATGGAGTGCTTGAGCAGTCAAAAGAAGAAGTCATCATTCAGGTATCACAGTGTACACTCTCAGCTGTGGACAGCGTGTACTGTGACTTTACTGTTCTTATTCTGCTGCAACAATTAGTCCATTCATGGAAATAAATGATTTGGAAATCCATTTATAATTTTTCAAGCCAAATATTTGCTGGTTTCAGCTTATCAGATATTATTATTATATTACCTGTTTTTATCTTAGATCAATTCAACAATAATTTATGTTTTTGTGTTTGTTTTAGGATTGTTGGTCGAATAATTCAAACAATCAAGGGAAATTACTTTGGACACTGAGAAGTCCTGATGGCTGTTTTTTTTCCAAACTTTTTAAAACTTTGCAGACTAAGAAATAATCATGAAACAAGAAAGTATGATGAAAATAATTGTTGGTTTTGGTCCTACTTACGAACTATTAAAAAATGTAATGTGGTTACTCAAAGTACAACTTTTGCTAAAGGCAATGTTTTACTTGCATTTTTCACTCTCTTATACAGTTTATCATATTGAACAGAAGTTCACTTTCCATCTCACTGTTATATTCACTTTCACTCTGTGTGTGTGTCGACTGTTGAATTGCAGCGGCAGCTCAAACACCCATTCATCCACAATCTGCAGGACTGCTGGCAGACACAGCGCCATCTCTTCCTTAGTGAGTTATTAAGAATAAGCGATGGCACAGTTCAACCCCTCTTCCCTTTAACTATCCTACTATTTGTGTCCCCCTCCCCAATCCCCCTCTTTGTCCCGTAGTCAAATAAATCAGTACAAACCCCAGTGCTGGGTATTGAAGAGGTGTACTGCCATCTAATGAGAAAGCTGGGTAAAGCTCAGATGCTGCAATGCCTGCATGACTTTCAAGTTTTTAGCCATGATCATATATTTGTACATCCAAAGAGGTATTCAAATATGTGACCCAACCATCAGGAGACTAACAAGTCAGAAGCACGTGTGTTTCAGTCTTCATCTTCTTCCTGTTTCCCCCAGAGAGAATGTGCGATGAGCAAGGCTTTTTCTTTTTCTTCTTTTTGGGTTATAAGGATGCTGGCCGCTGACATAAGAAGTGTGTGTGTGTGTGTGTGTGTGTGTGTGTGTGTGTGTGTGTGTGTGTGTGTGTGTGTGTGTGTGTGTGTTTTATCCTCTGCAGTGTGCGATTACTGCAGCACTGGAGACTTATACACTTGCTGGTTACTGAAGGGCCAGTTTAGGGAGGATGAGGTCCGGCTGTTTGCTGCAGAGCTGGGCAGTGCGCTTGGTTAGTGATCATCAGACTTTTATCATTAAGATGTTATCATGTTGACCTTTGACATTGACACAGACATTGTAAAAAAATATATTTTAAACTATTTTCACTTCCTTGTTATCTTGTTTTTATGTCAAGTATCTCACCCTCTGTTATTTCTAGGATTTCTGCATGACTTAGGGATCATACATAGAGACGTAAAGGTATGATGTATGTATATGTATTCCTCCATTTATAATGCGTAATCATGACTTTTTATAATATTAATTCTTTACTGTTTTTGACTCAGATGGAGAACATTCTTTTAAGTGATCAAGGTAATACACGTCGTCTACATTTTTGACCTACGACGTCTAAAGACATTTAGTGTGGTCATTCATTTAGAATACATGTTGTCACTGTCACGGCAAAAAGTAAGACTAACACGTGCCACTAAACAAAAAAACAATGCAAATGTCATTAGTAACAAAAATACTCATCATAAGCTTGCCAATAAAATATGTATACACATACAATTCAAGACTCTTCTTTCTAAAACATGATCTATAAATACCAGTGTATTTGTATTTCAGTGTGTTTTCAATGACCCAGGTCACCTGCGTCTGTCTGATTTTGGACTTGCACAGCGGCTAAAAAGAGGAGGAAGAGCATTCACGATATGTGGGACGATCCAATACATGGGTGAGATTTTAATTTCCTTTTCTCACCTAGAGGTAAATGTCATATTTCAAAGCTACAGTAGGTAGTATCAGCATTAGAGTAATATTGTAGCAGCATCTACTCCCTTTGGATTCAGTTGACCCAGTTATGAATGTGATGCACCTGCGCTTCGGTTCATATTGCACATCGTTGTAATATTCCCATTTATTGTCTAAGTGATGCTCATTTGTCATTGTAAGGTTTGTTTCCATGATTGTTTTCCTTTTTTGTCTGAACAGCTCCTGAAGTATTAAGTGGGGGTCCGTACAATCACGCTGCTGACTGGTGGTCTTTTGGGGTTATGCTGTTCTCACTGGTGACAGGAAAAGTGAGGGCAAAACAACTCAATGTTTATTAGTTGACATGTGATTTTGTGTCAATTGTCTGAGACTTTTTTTTCTTTTGCAGTTTCCAGTACCTGCAGAGCCGGACCACATCATCATGTTAAAAAAGGTCAAGGATTTTCCTTACATCCTACCTGAGACCTTCAGCTCTGCTCTGATCTCCCTGCTCACTGAGGTTTGTAAATGTGACTTCCATTTCTTTAATGTGGAAGAAATAATAATAATAATAATAATAATAATAATAACCATATGTCTCAGTTAATATTCTTATTTATTTTTTGCAGCTTTTGTGCAAGACTCCAGTGAACCGGCTTCGTAACCTGGAGTGTTTAAAGATGCAGGCTTTCTTTCGTGGCACTTCATTTGACTCACTCATCCTTCAGAAGACGCCTGTTAAAGTCATCCTGGAGCTGAGGACTCATCCTGATTGGCCAGCTAAAGCCTTGAGAGGCCTTTCATTAGACATATTTGATGACTTTGACTGCGATAAAATCTTTCATTCTGCTTCAACTCCCACTGAACTGTCTCCTACGTTGGCAACCATGGACCTGAGCCTGGCTACAGAGCAGATGACTGGACAATGTTAGTGAAGAAGTTAACTGGAAATAAACTATATTTTACTGCCATATTTGTATTGCTGCGAGTATATAATGATGCTTTTTGAAAGCTACTGTAAGTTAATTATTTAAGATGTATCCTAACCTTTTGAAATTAATATTTTGTAAGCAAACATGTTGTGCTCCTTGGTACAGCAAATGTCTTTGTGCATTATTGATTTCTATGCATCACATTACCTTTATTATTTATTTGAATACTTACGCATCACCAAAAGTAGTCTGGGTATATGTGTTTCATTTTACAATCAAGTAATAATGGGATGTGTCTGTGCATATTCAGTCAATTTTAGTCTGAATGTGAATTGTGTTGGCAACTGAGCTCCAAAAAAAGATGTAAACTAGTGTTTTAATAAAACAATGTTGCAAATGTAGCCTTTATCTCCAGAAATAAAAATAATCTCAATCAAGGCTCTATTGAAATGTGTCTGCAGGATCAGTGACACCTTGGGTCGACCTATTTAAAGGAGTGCTGAAAAACCCATCGAGGACAAACTTAATAGGACAGAAAATGAAGGACCAGATAAAGTATCATCATTAAATATTTTAATTAGGTAACAGAGGGAAAAAAATGAGGGCCCGGCGGAGGAAGTCACGTATAATTGCTGTTCTTATTGAAGTCATCTATCTATTTTAAACTTTTTAAACCGTATCTCCCTGAAAGGGGGGCTCCGGGTTCTCCTTTCGCTGCCTCCTGACACTGAATACCTCTCAGGCCCTTGTCTTAGACAGGTCCCTGTGTTGCTGCAGTCCAGTGACCCATATCTAGTTTCAGAGGCACAGTGACCCACAGTAGTGAAGGGAGGAGTCCCCTGAAATACTGCTGACTATCCCACTGAATATAACCTAATAATATCATCATATACCAGGAACACACAACAAAAAACATGCTGTTTCCTGAACATATAGCTCATACCTCAATGTTACAGATATTTCCTCAACAAATTCTAATTAGAAACATAATGATGATCCTGTTAAGCTCACAGAAATGTAGTCACATTGTTGTATTCAACATTATAAGTATGTTGTAGTTCATTTCATTTCAAACCTTTATTTATGCAGGTGAATCCCATTGAGATCATTGATCTCTTTTTCAAGGGTGACCTGCTGCAAGTAGGTTCCACATGAATACATATAAACATAACAGAAAAACAAAACAAAAGGACATCATCATACATGGTATGGTAGTATGTATTTTTGAGAGGAAAAGATACAAAAATTCCACCTTCAAAAATGAAATGATTTAGCTGACCTATTTCTGTCTTTAATTTAGGACATTTCACCACGTTAATTTACATTGAATGTAACCTGGAAATGTACTTCTTTAACAACAAAGAAAGCCGAGTACCGGAATTGTTCTGAGACTGAAACTCCCCCGTGAATTCAGGGATGAAGACCAAATTATCTTGAGACTTAAAATATTCCTCTGGGCACGATTTGGCTCATTAAAATAAAAATAGCACACCATGGGGTGTAGTTAAATGCCTTAAATTAGGTTGCTTTAGGGGTAGAGGATGCTGCTGATAGAATCAATCATTTCCTAATACGACGTACGTAGTTGAGACACATCAGCATGTATGCAAAACTTAAATATAAAAACATAATTGTTGATATATACATCCAATTAACACCAGCACTGCAAGTTGGAAGCACAAGAGTAACATCAGCATAAAACCAATGTCTGTATTCAAATGGTATTATTCATCAAAAATCTGCTAATTTATATAGGGCAGAGATGGGTGTACAAGCGCCGCCCAGGGGTGTGGGCTTATGAGGTTTGACATACTTGAGCTGGATACAAAATTAAGCTGACTGAGAGTGTCCGATCAGTGTTCATCACACCAGAGGAAAGGACATATTTGATTTCTGTCAGGTATGAACAGCTCATCTCTTATTTAAATGTAGGGTTATATCACTGACTTCAATGGGCACATCTGAATATACCTGCATCAAGTATATGTTAACTTGCAGATTTAATAATGTTGGTGTAAACCAAAATGTAATTTGTACTTGAGAGAATTTAAAGCCGGTTTTATATTTTATCAACAGTGCTATCAACGTGGTTAGTAAGTTTGACGATTGTCTTGACTTTTGTTTCTTGCACCAGTTTCCACTTCTTTAGCCTGCATGCTACAACAACACAGGAATGTAACACCGTAGGGATCAATTAATACTTTTCGTGGTTTTTAGTGAATGATGAGGTTTCATTTGTATGTTGGACAACTATAGGTTAAAGTTATCACTCAATTATTTATGTCATCAACCTTGTAATTAACCCAGAACATGTTTTCTTTACCTTTTGTGAACAGCATCTATAGAAGCTGATTCTTCAGTAGGTTGTTCAGCGCTCATTGGAACCAACATGAGAAAATACCAATAGGGGCCAATATGTTGAGAGAGACAGAAGAATAGGGGCAACCAAAGACATTTAACAAACAGCAATGGTGGGTTATATCTGTCTAATTTTGGTTGTGAATGTCTGATAAAACAATCTTAAGGCGACTCCTACCAAAGGCTGCAGGACAATCAGTCAGGATGACACATCAGTCCCCAACGCTCTCTGAGGCGCAGAAGAGGGAGCTACATGAGACCGCTCTACGCATAGTTTCTCCAGGGAAGGGAATTCTGGCTGCAGATGAGTCCGTAGGTCTGTAGCACTTTTACTTTTTTCTAAAACGTAATTAAACATGTGTGCCATTAATGTATAAAAACAGTTATGTCACAAATAAAGGCCACCAAGTACCAAGAGTTCACAGTATGGATACTAACATCCCATGTGCACATCATGTTGGTTTCAGGCAGCATGGCTAAGCGGCTGGCTCAGGTGGGAGTGGAGAACACGGAGGAGAACCGCAGACAGTACCGGCAGATTCTCTTCAGCGCAGACGATCGAGTCAGCGGCTGCATTGGAGGAATCATCTTCTTCCATGAGACCCTGTACCAGAACTCTGATACAGGCATACCCTTCGTGAAGATGATCAGGGACAGGGGCATCCTGGTTGGCATCAAGGTTTGGGCAGTTTACTATCAAATATTGAATAATCCTACCCTCCCTTGTGGTATCAAGATTGGATCTGTAATAAATATGTAAGTTTGTGGCAATTCATTCTGTACGCTGAGTAAGGGTTGTGTCTTAACAGTAAACTTTTGCAAAACTCTTGGGAAATGTTTCGAGTTAGGCATTGACCTTCAATTGTTACGGTTATAATAGCTTGGCGGGGAGACTCATAAACGTTTTAGCCAAGTTTCGCACATCAATGTTTACCATCCACAAACAACCCTTATTTAGTTGTTTTTGTTTATGAGAATTTGACATCACTTCTCTAATTTTTATTCGCAGGTAGACAAGGGTGTCGTACCCCTGGCAGGAACCTTTGGAGAAACCACCACACAGGGTCAGACAAAAACGACTTTGTGCACTGCTTATTTCACTCACATCACCCGTATATTACAAAACAAACTATTAATATTTTCTACACCTCTGCCGCAGGTCTAGATGGATTGTCCGATCGCTGTGCACAATATAAAAAGGATGGAGCTGTCTTTGCAAAGTGGCGCTGTGTGCTTAAAGTCAGTGAAACTAATCCATCAACACTGGCTATCACAGACAATGCAAATGTTCTTGCACGCTACTCCAGTATCTGCCAGCAGGTAAGTACCCAATATTATAAATAATCTCTATATGAGATGCAACTGTATTGTTTTAACAAGATGTCCATTTTCGAGCAGCATGGCATTGTGCCCATCATTGAGCCGGAGATTTTACCTGATGGAGATCATGACCTAAAACGCAGCCAGTACATCACTGAGAAGGTGCGTGCCTCTTTCCGTACATACTGCATGTGCACGGGTGATGTTGTTATTACTGGAGAAAGAAGTGACACAGTGAGGAGGGGGAGTACCTGTGCGTTATCTCTTTGGGAAACAATGTGTGTATTGCAGGTCCTGACTGCTGTTTACAAGGCTATGTCGGACCACCATGTGTACCTGGAAGGCACCCTCCTAAAACCCAACATGGTCACCTCTGGACACAGCTGCTCTACCAAGTACAGCCCAGAGGAGGTTGCAATGGCGACTGTCACCGCCCTGCGTCGCACTGTCCCCCCAGCAGTCACAGGTGAGCCAGAGAGAGGGTTTTACACCTATATGTTTGAAGTTTGCAAAAACCAAATGAGAGTAACATGATGTTCCTTTGTTCCCTGCAGGTGTGGCTTTTCTTTCCGGTGGTCAGAGTGAAGAAGAGGCTACTGTCCATCTCAATGCCATTAACAACTGCCCTCTAGCCAAACCCTGGATCCTATCGTTCTCTTTCGGCCGAGCACTGCAGGCGTCTGCACTGAGAGCCTGGAGGGGACATAAAGAAAACGAGAAAGGAGCCACTGAGCAGTTCATCAAGAAAGCCGAGGCAAGTCCAGCTTATTTGCTGCAGATAAAACACATGGTCCTGATCTTATACGTTACACATAATTACTGAATGTTTGCTTTTTTATTGCTTATTTATTATTATGTATCTTCTCTGTCCACAGGCAAACAGTCTGGCCTCTCAGGGGAAGTACACTGGTGGTGATAATAACTACACTGATGCTGGCCAGCGCAGCTATGGTTCCTGTCATGCATACTGAGTAGCATGAGTAGCCATGTTATCATTAGCATTGTGTTTTCTTTCATTACCATAACAACTATTGTGAAGTAGATAAAATAATTGGTTAAAAAATGTGACACTCATGATGATGTCATATGTAAACAAGTGACAGTGTGTTTTTTTGCCTTGACAAATGATGACAAACAGAACGCAGCCTTGGGTTTCTGATGCATGTATTGAATGAAGAGTGCTAGCTTTATCACTTTACATTGTGCTCTTACTGCTTTACAAGATTACCAGTATAACAAATAATGACGAAATACGTGGCATTGTGGCTGCAGAATAATTACTACATTTCTGACATTTAATTTCCCTCCTGTTCGGGGAAGTGTCTTTAAGTTGTGCAAAATGTCTTGGTGTATGAGTCTGTATACTTTAGTTTTGTTAGTGAACATCCTCACAAATATAATATGCCTCCGCAGTCGATATGACATTCATAATCTTCACTTCATGGAACTCAAAATGTAATGTGATTGTGTGTGTAGTTATTCTGAATAGTTCTCTTTAATTGTATAGACATTAAAGCATTCAAACAATAAAACTGTTCATGTTCCGTGTGGGGTCGATGTCTTGTTTTATTATACCATCAGCCAAATCACATGTTTCCAGTACAAGACAAACTAGAGAAATTAGGTATTGTATTTACCATCGATAGTTAAACTTATTTTGTTATCTCCTTCAAATATATAGGATGCAGTCAGCTGTAGATCATCAGAGTTGTAGATCAAGCCAAAAGCAA